AGGTAGAATTAAAAAGCGCTACTGCTGACGTTGAAATAAACATTGTGAGTGTGAATGGATATCATTACGCCCAATGAAACACAGCAATGTGAGTGTTAATGGATGTTACGAATACGTCGCAAAATGCAGAAAACGTCCCAATAGGGCACAAAAACGGGTTATCCGGCATGTCCGGGGGGGCAAAAGTGAGCTTGCTGTGATCCTGAGTTGGGCTTGCATGGAGTGCCAGACACTCACACGCAGCACACCCAAAATCAAGGGTAATTTCGTCAAAATTTCGAAATTGTAGATCTCACTGTAGCCTCAGGTGACAATCAAATAAAATTAATAATTTCTTTTAGGGACCCACCCCCCCGCCCCAGTGGGCAGCACCACCTCAATGGCCTGGCCCCCCGCAACTCGACCCTACCTCACCTCGTCCACGCACCCGCCGCCCCGCCAAAGCACAATTGGCAGCCACGGCGGACCCCCAACACAACGAGGAACTGAACGCCTTCCGAGCCACTATGCACCAGGATAATACCCACGGTATGACACACATTCTAGACTCAGGCGCAAGCCCGACACATGTCACACAGGCAACTCCGCCAATGCGCACCCTCACCACGCGCATGACTACTAACACTGCCACCTCATCGACGTCGTCCGCCACCCATGCCGACACAACCCAGATCAAGACGAACAGGAATAAAGTCCTCTCACTCCCGGCCATCGCAAACCCGGACATAAAAAACCTCGTCTCTGTCAACGACATTGCCCGCCAGTATGTAGCCGTAGTCTTCCGCCCCACCACCGCAGCCATCATAAACACCAAAACGCGCCCGCCCACCGTCCATGCCACAGCTACAACACACAAAGGACTTTACTACTTGAACCCCCCACCCAACCCATGCCACGCTCAAGCCGCCCGAACGGCCCCAACCACAAGAAACACACAAAAAAACACCCCCCTCGGACGACAGCTCGCGCTCGCACCAACAACACAGCACACCCTCCCAAGGAAGCCACCCCGCCCCCAATGTACACAGCAGACACGAAGCACTGAGGCACCTCACCAACCCTGCCTCGAACCCCCCGTCCAAACATGGTTAGGCATTAGAGCACGTCTTCCATCATTGGCACATGGTACTAAACCATGTGCGACCTGCCACCATACAAACCATGGCACGACAAGGACTGCTCCCCAACATCCGACCCTCCCTCGCACGATACGCCCCACGTATCACGTGCTCCAGTTGTGCGCACGCCAAGCAACGAATCCGACCACACAAGCCAACTGCCCACCACTACCCAACTGGCTTCTCACTCAGCAGCAACATATGCGGCCCGATTGCACCGCCCTCCCATCAGCGAAACAAACACATCCTAACAGTTTTCGACACCAAGACACGGTACCTCAGTACCGACTTTCTGCCGAACCGTGCGCAAACACCACAACGTCTCGATTTCATCCTCAATGCAATCAACAATCAAACGGGCCACCAACCCCGAATCATACGCACTGAAAACGCACTCGAGTACCTCTCTGCCACCGCCATCCAAACATACACCAAGCACAACACAAGCCACTCTCCCACCATCCCCTACACCCCTCAAAAGAACAGCCTTGCAGAGAGGATCAACAGTACACTACTAAATGCAGCTCGCGCTGCCCTGCATCACAGTGAGCTCCCTCAACACCACTGAGAGGACGCAGTACGAGATGCAACATTTAAATACAATCGCACCATGCATCACAGCACACACGCCCTCCCCGCTACTGAATGGCACCACTCGGTGCCACACATCCCCAATTTCACATCTTTGGACAATTAGGCACCACCCCTGACCCCCGCCAGCACACTACCACCATTTCCAAGCTACACTCACGCTCCCGAACTGTACGGTACCTCTACCCCACCGACGATCGCCACATCATGGCACTGGATGTCAACACGAGCAAAACTCACCGCATACGCACCGTGGACTTCCATCCCTACTTCCGCACACAAGACCCCAAAATGACCTCCGCCGCCGCCTTCAAGGCGTACACCCCCCATCGCACACCAGAAGAGGTATCGGTCTCCACCCCCGCCCCCCTCAACCGCGGGCAAGCCCGCAAATACCCCGATGCAGACCTCCGGTCCTCCGCCCACAACCAGGAGCTTGACGCGCTCGACACAAAGCGTGTCATACAGTGGACACCTGACCTCCTACTCTCGCGTAATACACGCCTCATTCCCCTTACGATGGGGTACCGGTACAAGCGCGACAAAAATGGCAACGTCACAAAACGGAAAGCACGCTGCGCGGCTCGAGGAGATACAATGATACCAAACGTTCATTACAACCCCGAACGTACTACAACCTACATGGCAGACAAGTCCTCGGTACGCCTGCTAATCGCCATTGCCGCAGCCCACAACCTCCTCATTGAACACATTGACATTGAGGCCGTACCTCCACGAGGACTTCGACCACAATGAGGAAAGCCTGTCTACGTCCGTCAGCACCCCTGTTTCGACGGAACGTACAAGCATAAATGTAAACGGGGAAAACTTGTCAAGAACCTCTATGGCACCCCGCAAGCAGGAATCACATACCTGCAAGCCGTTTTAGGCCTCCTCACCAAGGATGGCTTTCACCAATCTGAGGCACACACCTGCCTCTTCCACAAAATAACCCCCTCCTCAGCCACATTCGTGGCGATCAGCATGGATGACTTCACCGTCACAGCGACCACGCAAGCGCTGCTCGACGAATTCGCAAACCTGTTGACAAAGGCGTACACCATAAAGCGCCTTGGTGAGCCCCGCACGCTGCTCGGATGGACGGTACAGCGCACCGCCAACGGCGCGCTGCACATATCCCAGCCTACCGCCACCGCATGCATCCTGCGCAAAGCAGAGATGACCATTGCCAATGGCAAGCCCACACAGTACCAGGACAGAAGACGCCTCCACGGCCCCACCGACCAAGATGAGCCCTTTTCCAAAGAAACTGAAAAAGTACCAACAGATACTCGGTGACCTGAGATATATCGCCGACTCCACGCGCCTGGATATTTACTTTGTCATCAACCGCCTGTCGGTCACCACCAAAGCCCGGAAAACACGGGCTTTGGTGGCGACCGACAGGCGGTTGTAGATGACAAACCCATGTACAACACCCCCTGATCACGTCATACTCGGACGCCGACCACGCGGCAAATGTCACCAACCGGAAATCCATATCTGGCATTGTCCTATACAGTGGCACTCCGATATGCTGGGGATATATGCAACAGAGCATCACGGCCCCCACTACGTGCGAGGCAGAATAAATTGCCGCCACCGCCGCAGTGCAGCAAACTGCATGGCTTCGCCGGACCCTCCAAGACATTCGCATGCTCAGCCCACATCCCGCCCCCTTCTTCATGGATAAATAGTCTGCCATTAGCGTCGCGCGAAACTCGGGACCGACCAAACGCCGCAAGTTCATTGATCTCCGGCATCACTTCTTGTCCCATCACGCACGCAAGGGCAACATCGTATTGAAGCATATCCCGAGTGCGGACATGCCCGCGGACATATTCACCAAGCCGCTACGATCGGAGCCGTTCCGAAGCTCACGGCGAAACTCCAAATCATCGCCGCCCCCCATACCCCCGCCGCGGCGCAGCAAGACTACGCAGCGACGGGGGGAGTGTAATCATTCCCATGTCCAGTTTCTGTCGCTCTGCGGCCGTACTGCGTCATCTGTAATGATCTCTCTATCATGAGTCCCATGCACAGCTCACACACCTGAGCCACGCACACACGAAGCACAAATGCAGCTCTCCAGGCAGCGCCTCCGCCACTGGCGCCGCTCCGCTTCTTAGTCGCGCACAGTCCATCTCCCTCAGTAAACTCGGGCATCGTTCCTTGCACCACATACTTGACTTTGGACGATATAATCGAAAGCAGAAAAGAGAGAGACGTAAAGATTGCTGCTGAGAGGCATCTCAAAGCTGAGAAGAAGGAAGAGCGGGACCGCAGTCGAGGCCGGATGCGATTCTCGAAGGAGAATCGCTGTACAAAGTCAGCAGCTGATCCAAAATACACAGCCTCGCTGTCTCCCCCACAGCCTGAACATTTCTCTCCGACTTCTGGGGCGAGATTCGGAGCGGCAATTAGTAGTACAATCTCGAGGCAAGCGTTCAGTAAGGATTTGAGGGGTGAAGAGGAAGTTGTGGAATCTCTGTTATCGCTTTCCAGTACATAACTAAAATCACCAATTTGCCCCTTTTTGCCTTTTGAGCCCTTTTGACACGTATCGGAAAATGTCGAATGGCTTCCAACAGGTTGTTTTTGCCAGCGTCTTTTCGTCGGGGATGGCACATGGACACCCGACTGGCTGTAGCGGACATTTTTTGGCTGCTCGGGATAGTGCCATTCAAAACTTGTGGGGCTCTGCCAAAAAAATTCCTAAATTGCCCCGGCCAGGAAGGGTACAGTAGCGAAATCGAACAGAGCTGTAAGGAAAGGAACGTAGGGGAAGATCGTACGGTAGGAAGGATGAGCGTTAGCGAAATCCAACATTTTTAATGTTTAACAGTTAAGGTTACCTACCCTCTGGTGTATGCCGTAGGCATACACCAGAGGGTAGGTAACTGTATGCCTACGGCATACACCAGAGGGGTAGGTACTACTATTACTGTAAGATAAATACCTACCTACTAGGTAGGTATTTATCCTACAGTAATACAGTAGGTACTGTACCTTATCATATACCTCACATCTTTACAGTATTTACATCAGAACTGTGAGACCCTCAGTGATCTGCTGGGGAACCAATTGCTGTGAGTGTCTTTCATAGCAGCTGAGTTAGTTTTAAGAGCGCCTTAAGTACCTCGTGGAAGCATACTGTAGAAAGAGAAAAAAACAAGCCTTGGTGAAAGCCGGTGACCCTATACCGCCTGCTTCCGTCCCGTTAAGAAGCATGAAAGAAGAAGAAAAAGAGTTTGCCGCCCATATTCGGTGGCTTAAATGCAATCTTCGCGGAGTACATGAAGCTGTTCTCTTTAATCTTGCTACAAGGTATCGACTTCACGCGGTGCCTTTGTAAAGCCATGTAGGGCTATTCATGTGAAGAGGGAGCGGTTGAAACGAGTCTCATACACCTTCCCACTAATGGATAGGGAATGAAAACCCCGCAACTCCAAACTCATGCATGCTGACCTTTCATCATCTGCATTTCCCGGACCGCTGTTCCAAAATCAGAAAGTCCGAAGTGCGGTTTTCCACAATGAAACGCAATCAACGACCACAACCTTACACATAGAAAAAAGCATGCGAGAGCACCAACGCCACAAACGGTGCAATGATAAACGAGGTATAACCCTTCTCGCCAGCCGCGGCGAGCGCCTCACGGAGGCGGCATCCTTGTGTAAGTTGCGCTCGACGGTGCGGACCGGGTGCCCGGTCTTCACGAAGCGTCGAGCTATTGCGGAGCAGGGGGCTGGCCTGGTTGGGCGTACTGCGGCTGGGGTGGCGGGGCGTAGTGCGGTTGTACGGGGGGCTGTTGCACGGGTTGTTGCAAGGGTTGTTGCATGGGTTGTTGCATGGGTTGTTGGGGCGCCTGCTGCGCGGGCTGTGCGTAAGGGAGCGGGGGGTCGACGAGTTTTTCGGACCTCTCGAACAGCGGCTCCTTCCGACCCATGACTGTGATGGCGATGATGATGGCGATGATGATGGACAGGAGTAGGGAGAGGATGCCCCACTCGAGGGCGTGCGAAGCCCTCGAAAGCGCGCCGCTTTTGACAGTGAGAACGGCATCTTTAAAGAGCAGCTCAAAGCAATCGCCAGGGACGGCCAGGGCGATGATGGCGAAGATGACGAGGACCGGGACACTGATGACGATGGCATTGGACAGGATGTGGTGGGGGACAAGAGGCATGTCGTAGTGGCGCAGCAGCAGCAGCAGGAAGAGAACCACGAAGATTAACTCGGACATTACGGAGAAGGCGACGCCGGCTTTGGTCTCGCCGTTGGTGCAAATCATTGCTGTGCAGGGGGGGAGTGGGAGGGGGGGGAGAAGGTGGGGGTTTGGGGTTAAAGAGAGCGAGAGGGAGAAGGGGGTGTGGGGATCTGTGCAACGCAGGAGGCAGACTGTAGCAGGAGTCGTTCGGCAAATATATGCGGAAACAGGTGTCAAATACAAGACGAGCAGGCAGAGCAGGCAGGGCAGTGGAGCCAGCGTTTGGAGGGGATCTGGTGAAGTTAGACTCGCACGAGCGTAAAGTTTATGAGTCCCGATCGGACTACAGGGGGGGAGGGGGGTCTCTTAATTAGTGCAATTTTAGTTAGTGCATATTGGACTTTAATGTACCCTCTGATAGCCTGGCACGACTTTGTACGGTGTACACATATGTTCACGGGAGCACAATGGTCGTCGCCGTCCGTAGAGAGCGGGTTCCATTCTTTTACAGATCCCAGCAACCTTATGCATCTTCGAACAACTAATCACACAATGAGCACAACTGAACCAGCATCCAGGGCGTCAAGAACCCGCATTACCCTTCCGCAAAAAGAGGAGGTGCTGCGGCGACTTTCACAGGGTGCTCGGCACGTCGATTTGCAGCGTGATTTCAACTGCTCTCCAAGAACGAAATGCAACATCAAGGCCCAAAAGAAACACATCGAACGGGTTCTTCAATCACAGCATAACACTTTGGTGAAGGCTGTCTATCCCATTTATTTCCCGGAAATCGAGGATCGCCTCTTTCGCTTCGTGCATATCGCACGCTCCGCAAAATTGCCTCTCTCCATCGCATCATTTACGTCTTGCTAAGCGAGCGTTGAGCCGCGTCTATAATGAACACACGAAGCGTCAGCGACGGCAGACGCTGGTAACCGAACATTTCGTTGCCCCGTAAACTACTTTTTAGCGAGCCCCTTAGATGAAGCACATTGAAGATAGTGCACAAAGAATGCGCATGGCACGGGGGTGCACTAATTGAGGGGGTCGCCTGTACAAAGGGCGGAATGGGGAAGAGGTTCCAGGTCTCACATTGTTGCCAAGATGGGCACAGCCCTCTGGGCTGTGCCCATCTTGGCAACAATGCAGGAAAACTGTACCGGGTTGCAATACCGTACAGTAATAAGTCGTTGGTGAAAGACAAGCGGCATGTGCTGCGCTGCGGTCCTCCCGGTGATGTCACCAGCACGGCAGGGGCTTCGGCGCGGCCACATTGACACACACACAGGCAATTGTCTACCGGCTGACGGGGACATACGCGCCGTGACAGCGGTGACATTAACAGGTTTGGAGTGCAGACATACTGGATGTGATAGACAAGCATATTGTCGCCTCGATCCCATCGTGCAGACACGCTGTGCGTCGTGCGATATGAGGCCCTCGGCAAGCCTCGGTGCTCATATCTGCACTCGGCGCGTGTCTGCACTCGAATCGAGGCGACAACCCCTACTTGTTGACAATCAGCCCCTTTCGACTCTGGTTCTGCCACTCACTCGGCCCGAAATAAACAATTGTTTATTGCATGGATTCCGTCCAGTGCGTGCCCATGCCCGCAGGCCGCACCGCACTGCACTGTCACACACTTTGTACGCTCCTACATCACGTACTGTACTGTACTGACGTGCTGGACTGTGCCGGGCCGGACGCTATGCTACTGTAAAGATTTATTGCTTTTCCAACGATGCCCGGACGCTTCTGGGCCAACGCGCGTGTGGCATCGTATTGCTCCGATCTATCGCGATTAGGGCATGTAACCAATACTGGAGGACATCTATACTGTAAGTAACCTTAAATGCTCGCGTTCGGCGCCTCACCGCATCCCCGTACACTGCTTGAACGTGTAGGAGAGACTCAAGACCTTGGTCGTGTTTACTGTGGGAGGAGCGACGGCGGTGTTAACACTGTTAAGTACCGGTGGAGCTATGTACACGTGTAAGATACGACAGAACGCATCACGCCGTCATCTTTCGCCAACGTTCGTACACCCGAGGGCCGAAACCGCTGCACAATGCGGTCGCACATCCCTCCCAGTACGGGCCACGGCCCCGCTGCATGAACGGCCGGTCTAGGTCTAATGTATTATTGTATTATTTATTCATCATTAATTTTTAAATTTTGCTCGTTTGTGAAAGTGCTCTGCGCCACCGCTCACCGACATGATCTCGTAAGAACGAAGAACCAAAACTGTACCGCCCTCCATCACGTCGCACTCTCCGGCCACACATTCTGTAATACTGTACCCTTCGCATCGGCATATTGTGGAACGCTTTCCGTCATTCAGAGAATCGCTAACTGCGCCTAAATATTCATTGATTTTCGAAGCAAAATTTAGTCCGCGGACCAGCGCTCGTTTAAAACTGGGGAGTTGTGGAACACCGTAAAATGTTCTAAATTCTATTTACTGTACCCTTCAAGGGTACTGTAGTGGTACTCACCGCATTTTCGCAAGGTGAAGCAAACTATGGGCTGCCACACGTGTCTGCCCTGAAGCATCAATTAGGGGTGTTCCATAATTCCCCGTGTGCCAAATACGCCGATGAGAAGGGTACGGTGCGAAAGTTACTTTCGTTGCTTTGTACAATTCTTGGTGATTCTACCATATCCTATAGTACTGTACAGCAACGGTAAAGGAGGGTGCTCTAAATGTCGGACAAAAACCTCAATATTAAAAGGAAAAAGTACTTGTAATTGTCAAGCAATCACCATTTTTTATGCCTTGCAACGGGAACACTCTCAGCCGTTCGTCTACTGGTCCCAGTACCAGGACTTGGCGAAAACAAGCACGGACAAAGACGAGGAGTGAGATTGAAGCGCGCGGACACTTTTGCACCCCAACCGCGCACAAAGATCGGACATCGAAGCAAATTAAAAAAAAATAGAAAAGTATGCCTGTTTTGTATTTTTGGGTTGTTACACTCTTATACGTAGCAAGCTGTGAGCAATCGATTGAGATATTTTTTCTTTAATTTCAACCACGTCGTTCTGAGATACGGCGCACTGTCTGGCGCCGTATACCGCGGCCGTGCACCTTGGCCCGTGTCGGAGATAATTTTCAAAATATTTTGCATGTCCGATCTTTTTGTCACTGTCCGACAATTGCAGCACCCTCCCTTTACCGTACCAACGGAACAGTACATGGATCAGGCTGAGGCGAAATATGACAAAACTGGAGCAAATTCAGGACAATTTCCCACAGCATGGTTCGTTCCGTTCGTTCCGAGTTCTCCTCTACATTCTTGCGAGTTTTCCAATTTATGCGGAATGTATTGTCTTCCTCAAATGCGACAGGAGATAGTTTTGATTTTGAAACTGATCAAAGTTCAAACCCAATAGTTCGTAGAAAAAACGGAAAACGGGGGGACGATGCTTCTGCCTCCTCTCCAGTAAAAGAAAAGGGCGCGGGTTCATCTTCAACAGGTCCTCCACACCCAATCAAGTATATCTCTAAGACAAAGCAACTTTCCGAGCATGTACCGAAGGATGCATACAAGATATTATTGCAAAATGCAACGCCATTAAGAAGCGGTACATGATGGTCGAAAATAGAAATGTGACAGGTGCGATTCAAGGTTTCCATTGTCAAAGAGTAAAAATCGGCACAAAGCTGTTTGTCATGCCAAACCAATGCCATGTAAATATATTCAATGTATTAATAAGTTCTATACTTCCGGGGATATGCTAAGGTATCAGTGGACGCACCATGAGAATCAGACTAGTGTCTATCGGACAGTTACTCGTCATATGAGGACAAAACTTATTTTTTCAAGACAACCCAACTCGCGACTTCACTTCTGTTTTTTGAAACCAAAAGGCTATCATCGCAGATAAGTATTTGCTTGTCGATTCTAGCGAAAACCAACTTGTTGACGCATATAAAGGTGTTCAAAATAAAATGTTGGCTTGCAGTAGGTATTTTTCTTGAAGCTAATTTTATACTAGTAGCATAGAAACATGGGCTTGAGTGCTTCTTATTCGGTTTAAACTTCAGAAAATATGAAACCAGTCAATCTACCAAAGAAAAATTGAAACCGTGGCCATCAAAGTTGAAAAGAAATAAAATTCTCTAATTTTTGTGTTATGATAGCGCTTGGTTCGATAAACACTATATATAATGGGTGGTATCTCCATATAGACTTGACAACACAAGAAGGCACACGGAGGATGTCCATGAACATACCAAAAGAAACAACTGCAGTAGGTTGGACCGAATTCTGAACAAGCGCAAGAAATTGGGAACACTACAAGTATTGACCGCAATCATAGAAGAAATTGAGCAACAACAAAAAAAGAGTTACATACTGTCTGAAAGTGGGTGGTCATGTCTTGAATATATATTTTTTTATATGAGTTGGCTGGATCCTGTCCAATTGGACCTCCTGCGAAATGGAAGGAATAAAGAAGCTTAGACATAAGTAAGAAGAAAGGTCATGTGTTATATCGGTTGTAGTGCTTGGCACTCTGTTCGGCTTCGCTCATTTTCAGCCTCATGAAGTCGCCCCAGCTCCGGCGTTTGTGAGTGTAGCAAACACCAGCACAGACGGGAGAGGGAGGAAATAAAAAATAATGCGCTCGTTGTTATGACCAGGGCAGGTCTTGTACGAATTTCTTGCATATTTCACGTGGGCCTGAGATCGATGTCTCCCGATACTGCGTGTGTAATTACCGCTCTTCTTCATCTTTTCGGTAAATATGTCATTATTTTAAAGTATTTGCCGTACTGTGTAGAAAATTCTACAGTGGAATAGACTTGAAGAAAAAGATGGCATTTTACTACTGTACGTAATGAAATAAGATCGAATTGGCTGCTATTAAATCTCAGCACTAAAATATATACTCTATCCACTTTGTTTCTATTGAATTACGACTTCTCATTCTATCTGGAGTGGGTTTATCTCGCCCTACTTCTTCAATTTCTGACATAGAAATACGACTCTTTGTTGCCACTAGGTCGTGGGCAGAGGGGAAAGCAGTGAGACAACAATACAGACACCGTTTTTCTGTTATACTTCAAATATTTCACTTTAGTTAGGCCGTTCTATATATCGTTATGTCTCGAGAAGTATGTTACAGACGTTCTGATCAAGTCTTCCTTTTTGATGCTCAGAGCACTTGAGGAGCAGGGTTGTCGGATATAGATAACGGGGGGTAGAATAATTCAGTCACTGCAGATATCCAAGGCAAATGATCTGGCGGCAGTTGGGTTAACGCTTAGCCATTGCGTCTCCACTGTGTTAACAAGCTCTTAGAGCACCCCTAGTGTCTAGGTGACAAATGGCCTCATATGAGGCCATTTGACCTCATATGAGGTCACTTTTCAACTTAATTTTTCTCGACTTGTGCGAGCTGAACAAAATGGAAAAAGATACTCTCGCCACCGCAGTTGACTTCTGCGCTTTGGAAGGGTGGAGCTTGGTGAGATCCGCACGTCCTTTCCAGGCTTTTTGAGAATACCTAAAGAAGAAGCTTTTTTAAAGAACATCAAAACGTTTTTTGTTGATATCTTCGAAACCAAAACGCCTGTTTAAAATATCATCCGATTGTTGAAACTATATTAGATTCTTAGTATTTCTGTGTATTCATAACTGCTATCTCGATGTTTTGCAGGAAGCTATTACCGAAGGAATATTGGTTAAAGAAATGGTGTCTAAACTGGTTTTATAAAATTTCGATTTAATGTATACATTTTTGCAAAAAAAAACCCGGCCTCATATGAGGCCAAGCCTGACCTCATATGAGGCAAATTGCCGGTCGTCTAGACACTAGTGGTTGAGTAAATGAGTAAATTTTTGATTTTTGGAGATAGATTTGGTCACGAGCAGGTCGAGTTGAGTATCTCTAAAAAATTTACCATTTTGAGTAAATCTATCTCCAAGCAGCCGACGGGATGAGACAGATTTACTCATTTGCGCAAATAGAGATGCGAGTAGAATTGCGCCACTTGGAAAAATTACCAAAAACTCGCGCCAATTCTATTGACTTGGCGCGAGCAATATTCTCTGTGCACAGGGAACACACTCTTTTCTGTGCACAGGGAACACCCCCAACACCCCCATCCCAAGCTGAATTTACCCGCCACTGCCACCCTCCTGCATTCTTCCTGACGCCTTCCCTTCTCCCTTTCCTCCTCCTCTCCTCCCCGCCCTTCCTCCAGGCCATGATGGTGTCATGTGGGGCTTGAGGGGATGGGAACCGGAGACGTCCCCCACAGTATATCCGTACAGCACCACCACTACCACCCCTCGTACTGGATGACCGTCACGGCTGCCGAAAGATCCAATCACTGCACAACACGTTTGATTTTGCCCTCGAACCGGTAGTGTTGCGCCTAGAATCGTTATCTCCAAACGCTAAATTTCTCATATTTAACCTCGAAATATAACTAAACCATTAGGGGTGCTCTTATGAGTAGTGAATGTTTTAGAGAACGCTCCAAAAGAGGCTGACGTAAAGTAAAGATAGCCTTGCTCAGGTACCTTCTGTCGACTTCTTATTTTCTTTCAGGTTTTACCAAAAAAAAAAAAAAAATGTAATGGCAGCAACTTCCACTTTCTGGGTTCTGTCTCTTCATATCTGGGACCAATTGGTAGAGCAGGTGTGGTTCAAGTTTTTGAGAGTTTCCAGGTATTCCAGATGCCATATTTACTGTGACATTCGACGCTTTAATTTAAAAAGAGATACCTCCTCCTGTTTCTAGTTGTGCGACCTTTTTTCGCTGCAGCCAAAATAAGGTTAATTTACTGTGAAGTGATGGGAAATCTATTTGAAAAGGCGCTTCGTTGGTTTCACCCGTAAATACTTAATATCTTGGTTTGGCCCAGTTATCGGAATAGGATCAGAGTACTATTTTTTATACATATTGTTGAGGTACTCTGCTGCTCGTGGACGCGTTTCAGTTGCACATGTCGAGAGATTCCAGTTATTGGGCATGCCTCACATCGAGACACTGCTGTTCTGCTTTTTTTTACAAAGCACAGTGATTGGGTGCGGCCCGGAAACCCATCTCGTGTCCCCGAGATGTCCCATCTCACGAGTGCATCTCACTTTTACCGAACAAATACGTCCCTCCCATTGGCTCTAATAATGTCCGCATAGCCTTCCACCGAACATATGTTCTGGCTGCGTTCTGGAAAGCTGGTTGTCTGCATGAACACATGCAACACATGCAACACATGCAACACATGCAGAATCATCCCAGCGCCTACCAGTGTAAAACAAATGCAAGTTTGTCCGTCTCCGAGCACACCACGAGCATAGCGCGGAAAATCTGCCTTAACATAACATCTTTACGTCTACAGTCCCGCCCTAGAATAAACTCTGCAACACTACACGTTCGAGCCAAACGGCTAAATATTTGGACGAGCAAGCCGAAAAATCCGACCGTCCTCATAAATTCCCTCTCCATCTCTCAAGTTGTGGCCGCTGGTGGTGCTGGTGCGGGTGCGGGTGCTGGTGCGGGTGCGGGTGCTGGTGCGGGTGCGGGCGCCTCGTCGACCGGAACACTTGTATGCTCACCGACGACCGGGGTAGGGGGGTTCGGTTTGTTTCCCGCCTCACCCTTGAACAACACGTTCTTCTTCGCCATCAGCTTGCTCATCACTACCGTAATCAGAAGGAAGCTCCCGAATAGTAGAGCCAGGATTCCTCTGGCGAACGCGTAGTGAATCCTGTACAAATGCCGCGCCGCCCTGGAATCCACGGTAGCTATATCGATGCAGTCCAAGCCGAGCGAGG